CAAACAATACAGGATATAAAGCATAAAACATATTACCTGTATTGTGGGAAATGTGCAAAAGGCAAATAGGTGAAATAAGATCAGTGTTTTCCTGTGCTTATAAATCAGCAAGTAAAATGGCATGATTAATTTGACTGGTTCGGTTTGCTTCTTATGTGGTCTTCCAGAATGCCAGCTGCATAGATGCTGAGCCAAACCCAAACCAAAAATACCTGTTTCTCTGGGATGCAAAAGGGAGGAAACAGATTAATCTATAAACCCCAGGTTTCCCTTCAAGTTTTGGTTCTGGACTGAATCCTCAAAACTCCATAAATCTGTTTAACCTGCAGTCACATCTGTCATAAGGTTTGGCTCAGAAGGCAGGAAACCTGGAAGATCTCAGCAGAATTTTACCTTAAGCTGATGCAGTTGTGAATATTCAGAAAACATAGTATCTCCTTTCTCTGAGTAGAAAACTATAAGTTTTGCTAAAAACCAAAAACTGCCATTAATTATATAATGGCTTGTCTGAGCATCCCTCCCATGTAACCGAACTGTTAGCCAAGTGTAAAGAGCATTATCTCTCTTTTGCTCTCATGCACCTCTCTAATAATTCTAATAAATGGAGATGGGCATTCTGCCAATCAAAAGAAAGCCATCCCTACCAATAATGAATCTATCCGACAAACATTAGTTTTCTGAGCTGGCTTGTTTCACCCAATTCAGTTTCTTGCAGTCTGGCTAAAGTAGTTCCGCATTTGCTTTTTGTTTGTTTTCAGCCAGCAACGCACTTATTGGAACAAACTTGCTGACTCAGATGTCATCACAACTGCTCAGGAATTGTGATTATAGGCGCTTCAGAAAACTGAGTTGAAAGTGTATCACTGATCTATTTCACAGCCCGTTTCTTTCTTCTTTATCATAAAAGGGTGGCATACAATCATGGGAAGTAGCTTTGTTCACTTGGTCAGGTTGCATTTATAACCATGGTTTCTAAACGTTGTCTGAAGCGCCAACCTGTCCAATGCTTTTTACATCATCTTGGCTGTCATAAGAAGCTTGGAGCCAAGATTTCCAGAAAAGCCAGAAGAGGTCTTCAGAGTTGTTCCAGACAAAACTCATTCTGTGATATTTTAAAGCCATCTGTGCAGCTTCTGACCAACCAATCTCCCTCACCCAGGAGGGCAGGTTATGGCATCGTATGATCATAACTCAGAGCTTTCTATTTGCTGTCTGTGACTTCAGCTGAAAACACCTCAGCATTGCACATCCTGTGGCATGTCCACAAAAGACTATCATGCCAGCAAGAGGTAACAGCCTGAAAAGCAGTTCTGCCTCATGAAAAAATCACTGACTTGGTGCTGTGATATTCTATGAATTTGTATCCCCAGAAGGTAATAAATGAAACCATCAAATGATATGAGAAATGCCTTCACTTTTCTGACAGCCCCATCCGTAGCCCATGTAGTCTAAAGTCTCTACACTAAGTCATTGCAAACTAAGCCGTACGCATACCATATTTCCTCGACAACCTCCACTGAAAGACCTGCTTACAGCTACTCAGAAGCTTACCAATCTTTAAAGCCCTCAATTGAGATTTACATGCTGTCAAGACCATTGGTTTTATCTGAACTTTAGGCAACTTACTAGGTTAATTCTTGTGTAATGCAAGGAAATGGAGCTGAGAGACTGAGGTGCCCCATTCAAAGACAGTGCAAGAGCTGGGACCCATCCTTGCTGAGCGCCTCTGTTTCAGTGCACCAGTGGCCTGCAGGGCTTGCAGCCTCTGTTCTTGGAAGCTAACAGCTGCAGAGAGGCTCAGTACCACAGCAGCAGGAATAGTAAAGAACTGGACCAGGCAGTGAAACAGGAGAGAGGTAGAAGATTGTACTAAAATAAATGTGAAGCTAGAGTCAGTGAAGAGATCCTAAGAGAGAGATATTATAAAAGGATTAGGACTAGTTGACATTGCTCAGGAAAGCTTAGTCCTATGTTTTCATAACTACTGAAAGCTGGACTTGCAATCTGTACAATGTTGTTTTAGGGGAGAGTTCACATGTAATGACTGCACAGATGCATGTAGTCAGATGTGGCATTTAAGGGAAAGTGGGCCAGCTCAAGTACGTCCATTCCAGTCAGAAGCAGAGCCCTGAAGTCAGAAACCAAGTCCTTCTTGAGCCACTCAGATGCCTAACAGTACCTTTCTGCCATGATATTGAAGGAAGCGTCCACACGGACCACTCTCTATGAACACATGAAAAAAAGCAGAGCTGTCCTGCATTGCCTTTCCCCCCACTCTACAGGCTACGTCTCTGCAAAGCACTGCTGTACACCCTGACTGGAAATGAAACTCGTATGCCAGGCCAGGAGTGCTCCCAGCCACTCATGAAGAAATGACACCATGTTTCTGTCTCTGCACTGCAGCATGCACATTACCACAGCCTGATCTAGGCTCTGGCTTCTGCACCAAAATCCCTTCCTTTGAGCCTCCCCAGTGGCAAAGACATGTTGTCCCTCAGGCTGGGACAGGATGAAGGTGTGATAGCCCAGATCTGCACAGGTCTTCCCCAGTTTCAAGGAGACCCTGGCTGGACCAGCCTTAGAGCCTATGGCATGGGAGTTCCCAGACACTGTAGCACCAGGGAACAGTTCCCTCCACTGTGGCAGAAGGGACACATTTGGGACTTGCTGCTGAACTGTGGGCAGCAGCACCTCAGGAGGTTCAGCACCAGTCTGGGATTTGAGGAATCTCAGAAGCATTCCAGAGGTTCTGGCTGATTTTGTGGTGTCCAGAGGTCCCACATTTTCTCAGCACAAAGAGCTGCGTGCTCTCCTAGAAAGCTGCTTTGACCACGACTAAAAGCTCTCTCCAGAAGAACAAGTTCAGAGCCAGAGACATCTCCCTCCCCACAGGCAGTGCACCCTTCAAGGCAGAGCTGAGAAGGGCTCTGACTCAGGCATGAGTTGCTTGTCAAGAAACAGCTGGAGATGTTCAGCAGTGCTGGAGTGCTGGCCTTGGAGTCTCATTGAAGCTGAGAAAGGCACGCTCAGGGGTTTCGTGACATGCTGCATCCTACAGAGCCAAAAGTCATGAGGTTCATGGCCAAACAGATGGACTTCACTGGGAGGAGGGGGTGGCCACCTGAGGAAGGACTGCAGAGTAACTGGAGCCAATACCAAATATGTGCAGGGCTTCTTAGCAACGTGGGATTTAGCCTAAACATGCTGTTGGACAGCAGATCTCTGGATATTCCCTTGCTCTCCCTTATTCACATATATGAAAGCTTTCCCTGGAGCCCACCATCACCAGTGGCCTCCCTCCAGCAGCCTTTCTGCACTACTCTATCTTACTCAGTGGAGGCCAGGAGCAAACTCTCAGCATCCCCTTCCCCCTTCCCACACTAAGTAACCTAACATATAAACTCCTCATACACCTCAGGCCACCCCTCATGTTCACCACAGGGTGTTACACACTCTTCCACATCACTGAACTATGAGAGGAAGAGGAAAGTCAGAGTGGGGGTTTCAAACAGATGCAAGTACCACCAGCAATGCACAAACTATGTTGTATGGCTGATGGCTTGTGGGCATTCAGAAACAACTACAGTCAGCAGTGCCTGTCACAACTGCTGTTGATGCTAACACTCTTTCAGAAAAACTGTGCATCTGGTGGATGATTCTATTTACACTGTCCTTTAACTCGGTCCCCAACTCCCACCTCTATGAATTTTCCTTTACTCGTAGTTCCTTGTCACAACTCCCACATGCTGCTCAGCACTTCTGTGAATGCCCATTTCCATCCCATAACACAAGAATCATGAGGAGCAAGCCAGGAAGCATTCTCCTGAAGAATATACCCAGCATGCAGGGTTTGATCAGGATCGGGGCAATGCTCAGCATTTACTTCCTTCCCAAATATAAAATCAGGCCTCATTGTACTGGGCCTGACATGCACGGCACAGAGTTCTGCCCTCTTCTCAAAGATTTCTCCTTGGCTTGCTGCCTTGCATTGGAAAGCTGTGTCTCCTCTCTGGATTTCCTTTCACTGTGCATTCAGAGCTTGTCCTCCTTCTGCTGCCTTCCCTGGCTGTGACATGTGTGCCAATTGAACAGGCCTGTTGAAAAATGCCCCCCTCTCTCCCTGTCTGTAACACGTGCTCAAAACCAAAACCATCTCAAGACATCTCTGCTCTATGTTCTGGGCAACACGTGCTCTCACTGGGACACATCCCAGCTGGTCTGCCTCTGTGAACTGCTCCCTGCTGTTGTAATGTGGCTGATGAGCAGAAAGAGTTGGACAGAGGAAGGAAATAGAGAGCAAAGAAATAACCTGAGAAAAGGAAGTGCATAAGAAAGGTGAAGAAAGGAAAAACTTAATGGAAAACAAGCAGGAAAAATGAGAAAAAAAGAAGAGAGAAAAATGCAAACAATGATGAGCAGAGAGAAAAATAAACAGAGAAGATAGAAAGTGTAAACAAAAAAAAATAAAAAAGAGAAAAAATTGGATCAAATGAAGCAATAATAGCAGAGTTGGTCCCTACATTGAAGATACACTTTACCAGAAATATCTCTTTCGACACTCTAGATAGCTTGGTCAGGAGGCAGCAAATGCTGTCTGTTCAGCCGGACAGGAGCAGTCATGTGTCACAAGCAAGATCAAAGGCATCAGAAATGCCTTTTGGGGGAGTTAACTTACCAGGATCAGAGAGAAAATCTCTTCAAGTTTGAAAGAGTTAGTTATTAAATTGCTTATCAGAAAGCCGATCTGTTGCAAGTTCATAGTCTGCTTGTTCAGTGGTTGTGTGTCATGTGCCCATGTCCTCCTCATGGCGCCTGTGTGGGGAGGGCAGATGGCCACACAAGGGATTTCACAGCATTCCAGCTATAAAACTTTCTGCCCCCATGTTCTGGAGAAAATGGGTCCAAATCTATACTGCACACAGAGATCCGTGCTCTCTGCCAGCACAGTTATCCCACTAGATTTAAAGCTGGTCTGTTGCAAAATAAAAGACTACTTGAACTCTGGTTTATATCAGGTTTTTATTGCTAAGAAGTAAATCTTGCAATGAAAGCCCACATTTTACCAATATAAGAATACTAAATGAAAGCAGTGCTGATACAATAAGTATTAAATCAGAGGGAATAAGTAAAACCCACTTTATCCTCTTCATAATCTTCTGAGCACACAGACAACCAACTGAGTTCTCACAAGTTAACTCTGTGCACTACCATATGTGGGAGGAGGTTGAAGAGACAGCTCTGAGGAAGGATTTGTTGAGGGACGTTTTCTGAGGGAGTTTGCAGCAATGGTGCATGCGTCTGTTTGAGGACGATTACACATGACTGCTGGCACACACCAAACTCACTGGATTAAAGAGTGCTGGAGCTCTTCCCTTGCTTTTAAAGCTTCTGCTCTCTGTGTTTTGAATAAGCAAATACATTGCTTTTTGGAAGCAGACTTTTACCAATCTGCAGGAACAAGAGTAAAAATTTCCAAAAATTCCCAGAGGATATAGAAAGTCTTCTTGCTTATAACAGATGTGTCCCAAAGTCCCACCACAAATCAGAAAATGGTCACCGAATTACACTCATTCAAACTCAATATGCAACCAGCAGTGAGCCAAGAGAGGAGATATGAGGTGGGATGTTGGACTCAGGGTCAGTGGCGCAGTTTTGCAGGAACATAACTAGGGGCAGAAATCAGATCCTTGATGCCTCCAGCTAATGCCTAATAGTCAGTTGCTGAAGAGCAAAATAAACTCAAATTCATAAAACATTACTTATGTTTGGGCCTGACATGAATGTTGAAAACGTTCTTGTTGCAGATTCTGTACCATTAAGTTAAGTAATGGTTGTTCAACCTTGAGTTATGGTATATAGGAAAGATTTGCAACCCCTGGAGCCAGTATGCCCATGAAGATATAAAGACTGGTTTCCTTAGAAATGTCTTTCTCAGAGCCGCATAAATCTCTGCCTGTGAGTGGTCACTCTTTACATGTCTAGCCATCAGAAATAGCATTGTCAAATGCTATGCAGGAACCACAAAGTCAGACTCATAAAGATTAATTAATGATATAATGCATTGTCAGGAGATTAAGAGATTAAGAGTATGAACAGTATCTCTGATCCATTAAGGCACTGTGAATGTCTTGGTTTAAAGCACCACTTGAATCTTTCCTAAAAACAGAAAAAGCAAGAAAATGTCAGTAGCATATGAATTAGACTTGAATAAATAAAGGCGTTTAGAGAACGGAGCCACTCCTTGATGAAATCCTTTTAAACATTTAGTAATCAATGGGATTCATTATGTTGTAGAGTAGTGAAGGGAAAAACTGATAGCACAGAAAGGAGAGTTTAACTACCTAAGATGCAAAAACATCCTTCAACCTCCACACACTGGCAACCAACAGAAAACATCATCAGTGCAGCAGCATTATGTCAAGAGAAACCAGTACAGCTTTCTCCTGTTTCTGCATTTCTTCTGCTAGTCACATCTTACAGGGTACATTCTTCAGGACACATCAGTGAGGCAAATCTGTACTTTAAACTTTGATGGTGTTCTTTCAGTTCTGCATCTCACAAAGGAAGGCTGGTTTTAGACAAAGCAATGTGTTAATTGGAAACTGATGCTGGCATTTTCTGGAAAAAAAGTCAATAATCATCTAATCTACTTTCAGTATCTACACTAAAAAAGAATGTAATATGTAAACATACGGTATCAACTCCCATCAATTATTTCAGTGCTTTTTATCTTTGAATTTTAATATTATAAAACGTTAGTCATAAATGCACACAAAAAGCGTTTATTTTCTTTGAAAATTAGAGCATTTTTAACATTCTTAGGAACTGATATTTGTTAGGAGCTGCATCCAGCTCTTGAAATATTAAAATCAGCATGATCTAAAGGCATATTTATATAGCTCGAAGTAGGAAGTCTAATCAATATGTTATTCTTTGTCTAAAGGATTAACTTTTTCCCTTTGTCACGTCTGACTTTTTAAAATATCAGCCTCCATGCTGGGAAGACTGCTTTAGCACAGAAGATGAAATCACCCAATGACAAATGTTCAGTCTACTGCCATATGCTATTCTTCCAAAGCCTAACTGCAAACTTCATCCTTCATCAGCAGAATGCTCGCCAAACTGCTTAGTTACCGAATGTGTTTGCATTTGTGTTTACAAACTGAACACATCCCTTCCTTCTTTTAATTAAAGAAAAAAAAATATTGTAATTTATTGAACTAGCCCTGTACACTCACCAGCCAAAACAAGGGAATATCCTTTTTCAGCAGTCACCTGAATTAGTGAATGCACTTCTTCAGGGATGGACCCCAGTAGCTTCTGCTGCACCCCATGTCAGTGGAGGAACTTCCACCCGCTCAGGAAAGATTCATCTCCTCTGAACAAGAACACAGTGTATTCCCTACAGGAAAGTCAATCTGTCTTCGACAGCTGCATGTTTGTGGTCACTGTGAAAGCCCCTGCATTTGTAATCTAAGTAAAAGTGATAATTCTTGCTTTTCTAACAGGGTTACTGTGAAATGACTGTTTATGTTTGTGAGGAAGTCAGATATCCAGTGAAGGCTGCAAGAGAAATGCATACCAATAACCCAGAGGTGTAACTCTACAGAGGATGCTGAAAACTGCCAGGAAGGAAGCTTCAAATGTGGAGTAAGTAGACCCAGCACTGGGAAATTCCAGTGGGATCCAAAGGTTTAGGAGGAAGTCAGCATTTGTATCTCTCGACAGCTGATGAAAAACAAAGAAAAAAACCCAGTGTCATCGTGTTACAACAGAAGAGGCCAACCAAAAATGACAGACCAACTGACTGGCCAATATTGTAACATCATATTTTCCAGAGAGGCTATGTTAGAAAACAGAAGTGCACTTTAGGGTGAGTCCTCATCAGCTTTGATTGTCTGAATTGAAGCAGAGCCTTTGAAGAAGAGCCACAAGTACTCATGCAGCGCTATGACCTTCTTGGCATAAAACACAGCCAAATGGGCAGGAAATGGGCTCTTTTTGCTCCTTTCCTTTGCACATTTCTCTGTCCTTACTGGAGAAGTGGCCCCTTGGTGAAACACATTTTAACAGATGCAGTATCAGTGGCTCATTTATCTAAGCACCAAATTTTCCCCATTGTATTATCATCTTTCTCAGCATACATTATATCCAATTAAAAATTCCTAATAGGTCTGCAGGGAAGAGTCCTTTGTTGAACAGTCAGTGGCAAAATTTCCATCCATTTCAGTAGGGCTGGAATTTTATCAGATCTCTCTCTCTCATTCTGTGGGCTTCTTCTGTCGGGAGGGGAGAATTTGTGCTCACTTCTATTCTTGCAGGCTAGTACCAATGTATGTTCAATTATACCACACTGCTTGGTTCTGCACCATTCTTTAGGTGTACTTCTGCACATTCATTATCCTCTCAGTGGAAAAAGTCTTGTGGTCTTTGGATTTTGCAGTTCTTTTTGTATGACTTAGCCTACATTTCAAAGTACTTTGTCTCTGGTGTGACCTGAAATAAATTAAAAGGTACCATATGTGAGAGGATTAAAAAAAAAAGAAAAAAAGTACATACATTACCAGAGGTTAATATGCAGGAATAAGTCTCATTTGGTGGCTTTTTCCCCACAGAAATCCCATACTTGAGGTGAGATACTCAACACAGTTGGCAGTGAGATATTTCTTTTTGTTTCCCCTTTTCATATGCAGAATAAATTAGAGGATAAAGTGTAATGATGGGAGATGCAGATGAAAGTAGTGGCTCAAACCACTGTAACCCAAGGTTGTCACGGTTACCCATACCCGGCATGTTGGTGGAAGCTGCTGCAGCCTCTCAGAGACAACGAGAGCCACTGTGTCTCCAAACATCCAGTGCAGTGAGGCACCAGTCACTTGGAAGATGGCAATGCCATGTGCTGGTGAAGGTCTGATCTGGATGTCCCTGTGTTCCTTTCCAGCAGCCAACTTAGCTCATGAAGAACCTCCTGGAGACTTTGGAGCTGCCAGCTCTGATAATGGCTTGGAGACATGACAAAGATGGCCTAGCCTCCAACCACACTAGACACCACAGGTGGTTGACAGGCCTGGCAAGGCCACTTTATTTTTAATATGCTTTCCTTAGAATCAGGAAGAAAAAAACATGAAGATAAAAGCTGTGTCAAAAGCTAAACAGATACAGGCAACACTTTGCGAAGGCAGTCTGACTTCAGGATTAGATCATTCTAATAAACAAAAATAACAGCATTTGCCAAAATACTTGCAGTGTTATGTCTCACTTTAGCAAATGAACACGGACTGAAACCTGCATTCTTACTGCACCCTTATTGTCTTCTATAAAATCAGGTTTATCTTGTTACCTGGTTATCACATGATCAAGCAATCAGTTAAATTAAGCTATCCTTAATTGATATTTATTTCATTTGCGTGCCACAATTAAACTAAGAAACAAAATTAATGTGAACAGGAACTAAAAAAAGGAGTGACACTTTGTTTTTACAAAATTCATTCAAATGCAAATTACTCTAGATACCTGTTTGAAGAGCTTTTGTCACAGGTGGAACAACTACCTCCAGTCTATGTTTCAGACAATATCTTGCATACATCTTATATACAAGGGTTGCATCTGACCAAATGAAGTGCTAAAAGTACATAGAGAAGGGGAAGGAAGAAGTAGTCAATAAAGAAGCTTCTGATTAAGATTAAGAATTCAGGAAGTATAGGTATTGAAATTAAAAAGGCAAGAGGTTAGGAAAAAATGGAGAAAGTTTTCTATCACTATGGAAAAAGCAGAAGGGCCAAAAAGAGAGTCCAATGGGCAGCATGAAGGTTGAATTGAAGGATAAGTTTGACAAGGAACAAAACCTGAGCTTTGACTGAGGTGGTCATCTTGAATATACAGTGGCTAAGAACAGTGGTAGATAGAAAGAGCTGTTACTCTAAACCACAGTGTAAGTAAATTTGAAAGAAAATATTGCAGGAAAAGTAAATTGAACATACACTCCACCCTAAATTCTGGAAAAGCTAGTCTTTGGAACTGGGAAGTGGTGAAGCCAAAACAATTAAAGGTACAGTGACAAGAGGAAAAGGGAATAAAATGTAAAGTGGATTGATTTGATTTTTGGTATACAAGACTTTTGGAAGATGGTAGATCCATTATTTTGGCCTTGAGTAAAACATTTTCTTAGGGATGTAATGCTTGAGGAAATTATTACAAGAGGCAGTACATTGGCTGAAAACAGAGAAGAACAGACTCCACAGAAAGGGCATGATTGTACTGATGGGAAGTTATTAGTGGAGTTCATCCAGCAGAAAATATTGTATCTTATGGTAACACTTTAGCAATGATCTATATGGTTTAACTACAGTTCATCATGTATTAATGAAATTTGCCACTAAAAGAGCACGGAAAAAAGCTGCCAAGAGAAGAGGACTGTAATATCATTTGGGAAAAACTTAATGAACTTGAAGTCTGGAGCAACAGAAATGGAACGTATGCTTAGGATCTAATAAGAGGGATATCTGCTACTGTCCAGGAGATCATTTGTTTGGAGCTGGAAGAAAGACTTCAGTGTATTATTTAGGGCAATTTGAAGCCATGGATGTGGTGCATCTATAAGAAAGGCAGACATGATCATAAGATGAATCAACTATTTCCCATACAAGAAGTGATGAGTCAATAAGATTACACAAAAGCTGTTTGGCACTCCATCTGTAATGCTGTGCACAATTTTGGTTACCCCCATTCTAAAAAAAGTAAGTGAAATTGCAGCAGTGCAAAGAAAGACCAGCAGGGAAATAAAGTGACTGGAGAAATTATTCTACATGAAATGAACAGAAAAGCAAGGTTGAATATGTGCAATTGCTCTCTAAAAATGCATCAATGAGAAAATAGTGGGAAGAATTGTTAGAAGAAAGAGCAAAACCATGGAAAACCTAGTGAGTAGAACTGGTGGAACTTTTAGCCATATGTGAGACAAGATGTGGAACAACCATGTAGGTTTCAAATAGAGTCTGATCTAGGTAAATGTTTGATAAGAACAGTTATCAAACTGCTTGCTTTCAGTTGGAGTAGATACAATTCAACAACCAAAAGACCATTTCCAGACCTGTGATGTGATATTGTGGAGCAGATGATGACCCTTAGATGTAGACATGAGGAAAGGAGAGGAAAGGATCAGATCTTAGGCTGTTAGAACTTAAGCACAGGTCTGCCTGGGTTGAACAGTGAAGATGCAACAGAAAATGTTAATTCTGAACTTCAACACTTATTTCACTGCAAAAGGTCACTAGCTTCCAGCCCCACCCAAGACAGCTGTATTGGAGTTTTTCAACCAAGCCCAAAACTTGCAGCTTTGTTTCTGACTGGAGCTAAGAACAGAGGACTGCTTGAAAGGAATGTTTGGAAGGAATAGGAAGAGTGGGAGAAAAAAAGTTGTGTGTGCCAGGCTGGTTGAGGAGGAAGCAAGAGAACATCTCAGGGACAGCATAACGAAGAAACAGTAGTTTCAGGCTAGGAATACCTGAAAATCAACAGGGAAAAGGATGAGGAGAGTTGGCATGTAGCAAAAGATCAAGCTCTACATATACATATCTCTTCATAACGTATTTATTTATTTATTTATTTATTGGGGGGGGGGGGGGAGAGAGAGAGAGAAAGAGGATAGAAATGTAAATCTCCTGTGGGATTTATTGTTATTTAATTTTGTAAGGAAGTGGTCTGCATTTCAGCTGATTGTTTGCAACTGGAAGGAAAAGGTTGGATGTGTTTAGAAATCCTCCAGTACATATTACAATTACATATTACAATCCTGCAACTCACCTTCACTGTGCCTCTGCTCTGGGTGAGTCACCAGCACACATAAAAGAAAAGGAAGGAAGTGCTGGGGTTAATGAAAAACAGCCTGCTTGGAAACTTAATTCTAATGTTAATGATTAAAGAAAACAGAAGATAAAGCATTCGTTCCAAGCCAAAAACACAGTTCAGAGCAAGCAAAAATTAAAACAGGAATAATTTATTCCCCACAGCATTGCAGAGGAAGAATAATATAGAATAAACACTATGCAATGAGAAGCTCTAGATTCTGTTTGTCAGTAGCAATGGGAATTGTACACATTGATAATAGAAGCGGCCTCTGAATGCGTCAGCCTGTAAGTGGGTCTCCGCGCTAGCCACAGTAAGCTGGTGGCAGCCCTGGGGTGAGGATGAGGATTCCCAGCACCAGACTCAGGTGGCTGTGATGTGGCATGGAGGCTGCCACCAGCAACGTAGACCAGAGCTGTTTGGGGACTCACTAAGAAATTACAATAGTATGACACATTTAATCTGCCAGGGAAACAACTGACCAACACCTGTTAGAGCCATGGTACGCCTCGCAGCCTGACATCCTTCTAAGGCACCAGCGATTCCGTGAAGCTGATAGAGCAAAGCTGGTTTTTACCTTCTGAGATACTGACACCTTTGTTACTTCTCCAGAGCAGCTCAGATGCAGAGAAAGCAAAAACTGCACAAGATAAAGCCTGCATGTTTTTTTCAAGACTGGTGTTGTTATCTATGGCTACATATCTCACACTGATCTAAGGATATCTGACTTAAAGCTTCTTGGGTTATCCTGTCAATACTATAATTCTTTTGCAAGAGAACAAAGTTAATCACTTTTGCTTCAAAATTATAAAAGCAGAAATAAACACATAGCGAAGAAGGGATCCACCCTGAAGTCTGTTCCCCTAGTATGTGCTAAAAATATTTGGGTGGCTCTTGCTGCAGCCCCATGGAGTAAAATCATTATATGCTCTTGACTTTGATGTAATAAATTTAGTATCATCTGCATGTTATGATAGTTTCATACCCCAGTTGACATAAACCACTATAAAACCTTGTATCTGAACTCAGATCAAAAGAGATTATGCACTAGCTCAGACAGATGCTTTTTATTCAGTCCTTTCAGAAAAGCCAGGAATTTCAACTGCAAGCTTTCTTGGGATTTTTTGCAGTTAACTGGTCATCCACTGAGCAGCGTGCATCTTTCCAGAGGTTGTTGCAGACCTTACGAGAGCCAGAAGAAAACTCATTTTCCGTAGCTCATTTTTTCCTAGGGAGTCTTGCATTCCAAGGGTTTAATAGTCTGAATTCTATATACGAAATCCCATCTTCTAAATGTGTTTCCCATGAGAGATTTTTTTTTTTTTTTTTTTTTTTTTTTGCTACCATAAATACTTTAAAGCAGTCATTACTGTAAGAAAAACACTATGAGAGGAGAAGCATTAAAATGGACAATAGAAGGATGAGGTAATGGTGTCATAGTTTCCCAAAGGCTGAGATATTCAAGAAGCCTACACAAATAAGTCATTCATTTAATAAAGAGGGTTCATTTGAGCAAAGTACCAGTGTTTTGCTGGAACCTGAAAATCCCAACCTCTAGTGACCACCAGCTGCTCTTGACTCAACTCTTCACAAGGTGTGATGCTCTCACACCAGAAAAACCATCTGGAAAACAGGCATGGTGTTTCTGACAATACTGATAATTGCCACAATTTCTGACAATACCAGCAATCATGGGAGGAGTTCACCATGACCACAAGCAGCAAGTATCCTTTATCATAATCCCAGCACATGGAATTACTTAGATCAAAATCAGATCTTTGACCTTCTCTTCTCCATACCTGTAGGGCTGGGACTGAGCACTGGGACTCTGAAATCTTTTTTAAATTGACTTCTGCTCCTAAATCACTGCCCTTTTTTAAAAGCCTGCTACCCAAGATGTCAGTCGCTACTGGAAGTGTTAGTGAAGATGTGCCAGCAAAGAACTGCTGAATGTAAACAAATCAGTGTCTTGCCTGTCACCTTCACCAGGCACACACAGCAGATAACCTGCTTTCCATCTCCTGCAAAACTGGTGAAGTGACAGAGCATGGGTGAGACAAATAGGAAGAACAGGTGTATCATTTGGCTTTTGCAGTGTTACTCTCATCTGTCCTGATCCAAATGCACTGCTATGGCAAGTCTGCAGGTGAAGCTCAGTGAGATTTCTGTGTGATCCACAAGTAGCAGAAGGCTCTTCTGTTTCCACCTCAGTCACCTCAGTCTCCTCGGCTGTACCAAGGCAATCACATAGTCCTGAAAGACTCTTACAGACATGTCCCTAGTGGGAAGAGCCATGTAAAAGGTGAATGGAACTTGGACTTGGCTATGATTCAACCATTCCTTACATGCAGACAAGGGCACTGAAATGTGCAGAAGAGCATCCCTGCCTAAAACATACTTTTTTGCACTCAGCAACAAGTTAGAGATCAGTCCAGATGTACAATGTCATCTTTTGTTACCATCCATAAATCTTCAGCTTTCCATACTCCCAGCCAAATCTATGATACTCTGGATCAACCTTTGGTAGAGGAAGAATGGGAGACACCTTATTATTTCATAGGCAGTAACCTGCAGGTTGCCACAAAGGATAGTAGACATTGTTTATCTGAATCTATAAAACTCATAAGTCTTATCATGTGTGTCAGAACATACCTTCACTGAAGCTCTGTTACATTGGCTGTAAGAAAAATAACTCTGCCCTGAAGGGACAGCACTTGCAAATTTTGTGACACTAGTGGAACTTCTCCATTTCTTCATGTAAAAAAAAGGTTGCTGAAGAACTGAGTCTTTAGCTCTGCTAAAATCATCAATGAGCAAGTATCTATCATGTCCAGTTAAGCATGATAGGAAGGGAATTGTCAGCCTTGAATTTTAATGTAAATGAAATGGGCTGATTTCATGTAAATGCAACGGTGTAGAGCAGGATGGAATAATTCATGTACGAGAAAAAAGAGATGTGTCCACAAGTAAGTAACTTGTATTTATGTATTTCAGTCTTACAGGACATTGTAAAATCAAGAGCAGTTGACCATTATGTTAAAACATAACACTCAGAAACACATTATTCTCTCTCACAGTGCATTAACTCAGATTGAGTAGAGAATTAAAAGAAATCTATAGCTTTTAATGTAAGTGCAAAAATGGTGAGGTGGGAGACCTTAAGCACTCCCAAACAAATGTGATGACATCTTACGGAGTTCCTAGCATAAAGAATCCACCCCACTGAAGGCACTGTCCCAGGAGGAGGCAGGCAGTTGTAATTTGGGGCACAGTTTGGACCCACAGTCTCTGGCATTCCATAAATGCCTTTGTGCAGAAAAACAAAAACAAAAACAAAAAAAACAGGCATTTTCAGAATTTAAATTGGTGTCAGAGCCATGCATAACTCCATCTCTGCTGCCTGTGGCCCCCTGCCAAGTGCAGAAGTAGTATCTTTGGAGGATCTGAAGGAAACCAGCCAAGGAGACCTGCTTAATCTCCTTCTTTGTATATTCATCACAGAAACCTCTCCAGGAAATGCCTGGGCTCCCAAGCCTTCCATCATGTACACAGCTCCTAGCAGCTTTCTGAGGTCCTTCTTGTCTTGCTCTCAGGCACTCTACATGCAAGATATTACAAGACTCCACATTCTGTATAATTCAGAAATGGCCTAGGTCCTAGCTTATTGTTATATTAAAATGACCAATAGGACAGCCCTTTGTTTTCCAATCTGGAAGGATGTGATACCTCCTGTGAATCTTTGTCAGCCTGGGAAGAGGCCAAGAAACCTGCAAAGCAGAGCTGCTAACTCTGCTTCTGCCCTTTGTGTCACAGGTGCTCATTAAGCCATCCCAGGAGCTGCTTTCCCAGATAAACTGTCAAATCTTTCCTTGTAGTCTCAGTCCCGGCTTGTCCAGAGGCAATTTCATTTCTAGCACTCAAGGCTGTTGTGTGCAAGGCATCACAAGAGATGGAGGGGCTGCAGGCACAGGGAGTTTCTCCTCCCTGTGGTGCAGCCAGGACTGTGGGCACTGGGGCAGGAGCATGCAGGAGCTGCCTCTGCTGGCAGCATCTTTGTCTCCCCTAGGGAAAAAGCAGTGGAAGGGGATCCTTGGGTGAGCAGTGCAGTCTGAACCACAGATGTTTTAATCAGGAAGGATTAGTCAAGTCCTGTGCTTTCTCGAGGCTACAACATTTTTGATGTGAGAAAGCACAGAGGAGCCAAGTTCCTTGTAACCCTATACTGGAAAGCAATGGTGATAGGATTTTGAAAGGATACCAGTGAGAGATGAGTCCATCAAGTCCACAGTAGCTGCTGCTACCTTTCTATGCTTATTAGAGCTCATTAAAGTATTAAATGGAGTGATCCAATAAAAATTTTCTAGCCTTGCAGGTGCTCAAACTAAATTCTTCACTCAGATTCTGTGTACACCCAGAGCACACTGTTTCTCCTTTCCACAGCTGACAGACAAGTATAATAGCCTTGGAGGGCTCATTGTAAAGATCAGCTCAACAGGTCATGTATAAATCATTCTTCCATATAAATATCTCATAGGATTCTAAGATCACTATATATTAAAATATGGATGGTATCCTTAGCCAAGAATGAATCCCAAGAAGCTTTATGGGCTTTGTGTGTGCTTAAGAAATAATGAATTCCCAGGGAAAAGAGCACGGCTTTTTATTGTGTGTAATATTGAAAGTGCATCTATGATTACATAAAACCAGAAAATGCAAACTGGCATTTGACTTATGAGGACAGGAGCTCCCACTGGATCACAGTTTTGGCCCTGGCATCGCTCAGGCTGACATTCACGAAGATGATTTGAAGGAAACATTTGCTCATATCAGCATGAGAGAAAACCATGTTTTGAACACCTGTGGAGACAAAGACACTTCCAGACCAGCAAAAATGAGAGCCTGAAGGAAGAATCATATAGCACGGTGTAAGACTTGTAATTGGTACAAGTTCAGTGTGGGGACCCGTGGTCAGTGCCCCACCTGTCTGCTTTGGTATCCTGCACTGGTGACTTTTGGACATCTACTAAGAGTCTGGAGTTTGCTAAAAGCAGTTGTGAAATCCAGGAGATAGTTGTGAGCACAGGGTCAATGTCAATGAATGTCAAGAGTGGGGCGGGAGGAACAAGTATCTTGTCTACAAGCCCAATCCCTGCTGCTAGTCCTGTGGGGCTGAGCTCACCCACCGCTTCCATGCCTTCACTCTCCAGCTAAACAAATTTGGTTTTACTGTCCTCTCATTCACAATACATGACAAAGATGCTGTAGTGGAAGTGCCAAGTTATGGCCTGAAGCAGTGATTGAGCACCTGGTGGGAAGGCAGGGCCAAACCAGAGGAGCTCAGCTGCATGCAATGCACCTAAATGGAGTCAGGATCCACCCCTTCCCAGATCTCATTTAAGGGTTGGCAGTGGAGAGAGAATCTTGGAGATTCTTATCTACCAGAGGCCTTCTAATGGTAAGTAGTTTTTCTTCCTTTGTTTCTGTATTTATGGCTTGCCCAATTGTGTTTGTTTTCACTTGTTGCAGCTTAGGATTGTGCTACCCTGCTACTATAGTACTTTCCATTGCGGCATTACAGATGTCATAAATAGTACTTGAGCTTGAATGTGTACTTGTTTAAGAAGCTGATGAAGAATCCCTCATGCCACTTAAGGGCTGCTGATGTTATGTTTTGCGTGGCTGCCAACAGCATAAATGGCATCTGCATAAAAGAAACTTGACTTTGCAGAAGGAGTTGCTGCCAGAAAACTTCTCCAAGCACTGTCTAGCTTATTCTGTACCCTCTCATTTGACTGTTATCCTTACTAGGCACATGCAGTAGATAACCTGTTTTCCATCTTCTGCAGAACTGACAAAGTTATAGGAGCATAAGTAAGATAAATAGAGCAGGTGTATCATTTGACTTTGCTGTGTTACTCACATCTATTCTGAGCTGGACTCTCATCCAGGTGACAGGATGTGCATGTGAGCCAAGAGAGCTGTTCTTTGGTATAGATTGGTATCAAGATGTCAAGTGAATTAGCAAAATTGCATTCCTTTTGTATCTTCTTTTTTTTTTTTTCCCTCCCATTCTTTTTTCTTAAAGTAAGTGCAGAAATCTATAGTGCACATTCAGACTTAACAGGAAAGGGATGTGAGGGTTTTGTCTGTTTGCCTTCTGGAAAGCTGTGCTAAATCTTATTTTATTTTTTTTCAGTAGAGTGAAGGAAAAGATCATTCTCTATTTCCCTGTATGAATGTGGCATAGACAACTGAATCTTCAATGTTAATGTGTATCAGTCTTTCTTCCCCTGGTAGCAAGGATGGAACAGGAGCTATCTCTGTTATGTGATAAGACTCACTCTAGCTCCCTGCTGCAGCAAAGACATGCAGACATGCTGTGACCCACCAGCATCCCCATGGATGTTGGCGAATTCCTGCTTAGCCCTCCAGGTGCCCTCTGAGCCTTCTCAAAGATACCTGGGCTTTTCTGCTGATGTGGGTGGAGTTGGTCCTTGTTAGCTCTGAGCTTGCATTATGTAGCTCAGCAGCGATTATGGCTACTAGTGTGTATCAAGTATTTTTACTAGCCTATTTTTTGGAGGAAGAGCTACAAGACCGTGCCATCATGCATGTGGTGTGAGGCTATTCAGAGTTCAGGGAGTGCAATATGAACGTCTTGTTATGGGTGGATGGGGAATAGGAGAAAGACTGTGTCTCTTGGAGCCATTACCAGATAAAAATCAAGGTAAGTGTAACTCCCAGTGTAAGGCATATGCATGAGCATGAATTGGTGAGGAGCAAGATGCTGAAGCTGTTTGGTTTTCTGCACATGTTCTGCTGCAGTAACCTCTTCCCCTGTACCTCACCCCTTGTCTCATCTTGTTTCAGTGGATTTCCAAAGACATGTTTTTGGTAAACATGCTGTTTAAGATCCAGATCATGGTATCTATTACTGTGTAGGCTGTTTCTGTAAGTGACTCTTTGGTAGCGCATCTGACATTCTCTCAGCCGCAAGAGCTGGAGCTCTGTTATTTCTTACTTAGAATGTTTATGTGAACATCAAACTTACTGCCTTGTGCTCTATTTCAGAAGTATAAATAAATACTACTAATCAATATCAAGCACAGAGCAATGCTCAGCTTGTTAAGGTGTTATACAAACACATAACAAAATGATTTTCTAACTACTTTCAAGTTCTTTCTTCTCTTTTGCTTTGATCATGAACAAGAACATTCAGTGTGTAAGGGAACAACAACAATGTATCGTAAGATTTTGTTTTAAGAGTTGTTTTCTTTGATTTGTTAGCGGTTGTGGGCATAATTTTGAATGAAACAACAGCAGGAATTGCTGCGTTAGGTCAGAGCAGGTTGCTGAGCTTGTCCTTGTCTCTGCCTCACCATCACAGACCTGGAGCAACTATAAGGTTGTCTAGGTAAATGCCTGCTTAGTTGTCTTTGAATATCTGTGTGGTAATGGCCGCTCATGCAAGTGTTACTGCACGTTCAATCTGTCTTTTATGTCTACTGCACCATGTCTCAGAAACCAATTCTGGAGAAGCTCAGATTCCAGCCCTAGCAACTGGCAATTACTCCCAACCTGTCTGAATGCAGCAAAGCCAGAGTTCAACCTAGTTGGTTTTATCTATGCTGCACATCACACTGACATGATGGTGGCATGTGAAGCTCTAAGAGGAATGTAGTCATGCTACTTATTTATGTAGGTGCTATGAAAAATACAGTTAGCCAGCTTTCCTTTCTTCCATCCATGCCAAGCCCAGATGGTCAGGGAAACGAAATAAAGCTTCACTTTATTACAAACAAACAAAAACAAAAAAACAGCACCTCATCCATGAGTATAGAGATGCAAGTGTGCCTTTCTGTCTGTGTGCCCATTAGTGACTCTTTAGAGCAAAAGACTAGCTCTTCTCCTTAGTTTTCCATTACATTCCCAAAGTTAATAGAGCTGTTTCAAGATGACAGTACTGTTCCCTCTTCCTAAATACCAAGAAAATCTGATACTTGCTGTAATTATTTATTAAAAAAATCTTTCCACTTACCTTCAGTTATGAGTAATACTTAAACATATTGTAAGATGATCAGTGTAGTCACCTGAGACAAAATGCTTCTTTCTGTGATAATTCTGCGTGCTGCTGGAGCTGATAGGGCTCAACACAGATGTTTTCTTTTTTTTTTTTTTTTTAAAGTGAGCACTGTTGGAGGACAGTGTAGAAGCATTCAGGTGCAAAATGTCTCTCATGTGGAAACTCTCAGAAGAGTGGATGGCTCAAAGGACAGAGGTAGTCATGGATCTAGATCTCTCACATCCTGGAGGCTGGGGAAATGTGGGTGTCCACTGCTGCCTTCCTGGGTGTTTTACTTTAAGCTGTTTGTTTTTCTTCTAAGTGTCTGAAATAAACCATTTCATCTGGAGTCAGAAGGAATGCTTATTGAGTAGAATTAGCTTGTTCTGCTTCACTGAGAGAGAAACAAAACATTTCCTTTTTACTCTAATTCACTTCAGAATCAACTCCTTTTTTTTCCCCTTTCATCTGTCTGCTTAAATTAGGAGATTTGATACAACTATGTGAAGAACAAAAAGCATAGCCATATCATTCACAACAAACAGCTCAAGTGCAAGAGGACTTACCACGTTTTTCTTTCTAGGTCTGCACACCTGGTTAACTGAAAAATCCTCTCCAAAAAGCTTGATACAGGGTCTGAGTTCCTGTGGGTTTGGTAGAAGCTTTCAATTGTTTCCCAAGGCTAAGGTGGCTATGATGCTTGCAGCAACAGGAGCAAATGGCTTGACTGAGGCAATCCCCATTGATTGTTCAAACCTTTGCAGTTAGGAAGCTAGTGCAGCTCCAAGGGAAGGGAAAGGAGCTGGTTTTCTGTGGGGTCAGCGATTGGTCTTCCTCATGATTCACCACACAGCAGTACACTACCTGGGTAACGTCCTGGCAAATGAGCACCTGGCCCAACCTTCCACCTTGTCACCTGACGGCTGGTGGCAAAACTGGCAAAGGGTGCCTGGCTTCAGCCCCTGAGAGGAACATCATGCACTTGTGACTACCACTGAAAGTGAGCCACTGGAAAATCTTGTCTTGGATCAGAAACTCTGGCTATGCATTTACAAAGCATTATCTCAGCTATTCCAGCAGTGACAATCCTGGCACTTTGTTGTGGCTGTCCAACACAGTCCAGCACGTGCTTGACTTGTGGTATGTTAGAGCTCAGCTCCTTATTGCAGCAAAGACCTTCTGAATTATCCTGATGATGATGTCAGCACCATCCTTTCCTTTATTTTTTTTTTTATTTTTTCTCTCCCTAGCCCTGAAGCAAGGCAGCATCTGGAGAATGGACAGCTGAGGCAGCTGGAGGCAGGAGACCATGTCTATACCACAGCTGCAGAGGTAAGTGACATGTTAAGCCAACAAGGATAGATAGCTGAGTCTAAAGGTCTTGCTCGTGACCTTACATCGTACACTTGTCCTTATCAAGATGTGACTTTGGGGCAGGAGATGACATTGTGCAGGATGGGATGACTATAACATTGCTTGGCTGAAAGACCTGTAGAGCTTACTAGTCAGATTCAGACTATATAAGTGAGCAGATACACTTGGTCACACAGAAATCATCTGCATGCATAAAATAGATACATAAGCATAGCCATACATGTGCATATATAGAGAAGATCCATCTCCTCATGAGGGCAAATCTGCCACTGAGTAGTCCTTATTCTTAAAGCGCTTGTCTCCCATGGGATGCTGTTTAAGGGTAAGCATGTGAAGACTTTGGCATGGATTGTATTATCTGTTAAGAGGGTGAACATTATTTTTCCAGGCTGTAGGTTGAGGTAGCTGGCTGGTTTTCCTCCTTCAGAAAGAGAATACTGAAATATTCAGAGGCTTCATATAAAGTATAAACATGCCAATTCTGCTGACTTCTGAAGTCATTACCATAGCATCAGCCTGAAAACACATTTGTCCAGAAATGAATTTTTCCCTAATGAAATAAACAGAAATATCTGTAAGAAGTGTTGTGCCTTTGCCTCCTGTAGAAGGGCTGCTCAGAGAGCCCAGCAAAGGCAGGAGTCTGATGTGTCCTTTGAAGAGGACAAGTGCAAGACCTGGCCAAAAGCTGCTAGCTGTTTGGGTTTACTTTCAAGGAGCATAAACCTGCCAGATGTTTTTTTTTTTTTAAAAAAAAAAAAAAAAAAAGCAGCAACATCCTGGGAGCAATGGCTTTAGTCCAGATTTTCCCTTCTCTTTGCTCTTAGCTCCACTGTGTCACACTAACAGCTTTTGCCTCTTCCTGCAAGCTGCCATCATGCTCAGTGGGTAGGCGGTGGCAGCCAGCTTCTTGATTTAAACAACAGGCAAAGGATTCCAGCTGTGCTCCTGATTGCTCACTGACCTCAGTTTTTCTGATTAAATTATCCATTCCCTGCAGCTAACCAACCAGTTAGAATGCTTTCCCTCATTTCATGTTTTCTCTATGAGCCAGGGAAGACTTTGTTGTTGGTAACAATGGAACATAACAAATTCATGTTCTGTCTTAGGTAAGTCAGGATTTTACCGACCAGTTGTCAGGGATGTTTTTAATCTGTTTTGATGCTGATGTTTCAAATATGTTAAAAGGTGGGAACAAAAACTACTTTAAAAACCATCATTAATGTGATATCTGCAGATGATGGGTAGAGACATGAAAACATCATTGTTGTCGCTGCAGCATACATCTCTAAAGAGATAAGGTGGTAGAGGAAAAGCTGAAAAAATGTTGCTGAGAACCAATGCATGCCCTGTGAGATTTTACTAGAAAGGGCCTCAAAAAGCCCTCAGTAGGCAGTGCAATAAATGCAGAAGGCAATAGAGAACATACTTGAGGAGCAGCAGACGTGCAATGAAGGCGTATGTTGAATGCAGTTAAACTGTAAGATGGACACTGTTGAAAAGCCAGTGATTTGAATGTAACAGGTGCACTTTATTCTGAGCGGAGACAGGTGGGGCAGGCTTCTAATAGGGCTTCAGAGTTCTGTATCATGATTTCTTGATGCTCAGGCTGATGTTTCAGAGTTCACACTTTAGCAGCTGAAATGTGCAAGTAAAAAAGTCTCATTTCAACATCTGGGAAAATATTGGGAACTCATGCTGGAAAAACACCTGTAAGACAATGAAATTGTTTGTCACAGCCAGCATGAGTTCTAAAGGGGAAGGTCCAGTTTAACAAACTTAATCTCCCTTTATGACAAGGTTACCCAAGTTGACCAATGGAAGCCAGTTGATATTAAATTTTTGGATTTCAGCAGTGTTTTCAAAGCTTTTCTCACAGTATTCTTTTGGACAAAATGTCTGGTATACAACTAGGCAAAAACATAACAGGATAGGTGAATAACTGTCTGATGGGCCATGGTCTAAGGGTCACAGTGAATGGCATTACATCAGGGTGGTGGCTAGTTGCTAGCGATGTTCTTCAGGGCTTCATTTCAGGGCCAGTTCTTTTCAACATTTTCATCAATGACTGGAATACAGGACTCTAAAGTATAGTAAGTTTGCAGGTGAACCTAAATAGTGAGGAGCTGTTGACTCCCTGTAGGATAGAGAACTTTACAAAGAGATTTTGACAAACTCTAGGGCTTGGGTAGTCGCCAACAGCATGAAGTTTAACAAGAGCAACTGCCAGATTCTGAAGCTTCCTCAAGGGAGCAGAGGGGCAGTGCTGAGTGCTGCTGTCTGTGACAGCAACAGGGCCCAAGGGAATGGCATGGAGCTGTGTCAGGGGAGGGGTAGCTGGAGGTTAGGGTGGTGGGCATGATCCCAAGCTGCCAGAGTTCAAGGAGCTTTTGGACGATGTTCTCAGACACAGGGTCTGAATTTTGGGTGGTCCTGTGTGGGTCTCTTTCAACTCAGGATATTCTATGATTCTGGCACTGACTTATAAACAAGTTCATCGTACAACTGACACACATTTGTGTTCAAATGTTTTATTTAATTTAAAGTTCACTTTTTTCCCTAAACATATATTAATTTGTGACCGCTTTTAAAGTTCTGTAATAAAAATCTTAACCACATTCATAAGTTCAGTGCCTGCCTAAACTTCTAGCCAGGCTTCAGACAACCCAATAAAAAATGTTATTGGCCAAATGTTAATGATGAAATGTATTCTGTTAATGGAGAACATTTCAGAAAAAGCAGGTCCTGTTCACTACATTGCAAGGAGAAAGCCCTGGAAGTCCTGTTGCTTTTTGACATCCCATTACCACTGTGTCTCTGGAGAGGACATCATCTGTGCACAAGTGCCACGTTTTCAGCACTAGATCTAAGAAACCTCATAGGCTTTTTTGAGACGCTTATGCTTTGAAGCAACAGAAATAAATTTTTTTTGGCAAGCATTCTATCCAAAATGTGTAGATAATTCCTATACAGTTAAAATGAAGCATAAAATTGTACTGTACCAAGAGGAAAACTAGTAAAACAGATCTTGCTGAGCAGGAGCCAAGCTAAATGAGTCTAACACTCTTCAGGAACCTGCCCTACTTCAGCTCCTGTTGCCCAAACCATAGAGCAGTGATAGGCTTGCCAAAACCCTTAGTGCTTATACTGATAGCCTGGTGATCCCCTGTGGCTCCATCCTTTCAGATGGTAGCCAGAACCGTTGGCTTTTCTATCATAGGGGCTGGGGCTGCCCCCATCATGCAGTTAGTGCCTGTAGAACACCACATTTATACATTGATAGGCTCATACTCTTTTATTTCCAAAATCCCTCATGTACATTTTTCAGCCAGTTTCTTTGCTTGATTATTGTCTTTCCAGGTCTTCTTATCCCTTCAAATAAAAAAGAAACTTTAAAAATTAAAAAAAATGAAAAATGAAATAAAGGCTTAAAGAAGAGGTTGCTGTAGAATTTAACTTTTAAGATGAAGAGTGTGAGGTCTGAAGTCACCTTTCCAGATGTTTCCATCGTTGTAAAGTGAATGAGGGACTCGGACCTGTTGCACAGCTGCAGCTCTGCTGAGGCCTGACTTACCTGCAGCTGCACTTTGTCTTTGCAGTGATTGCCATTAATCTGAACCGTGTGCCTGCTGCCATCTTCTAGCAGCCACATATTTTCCACATATTTCTTAGTCATTGCAGTGCTTTGTTCCGATGTCTTTGAGAAAACATCTGCCCTGAGGATTCCCCTTTTTATAACCTCTTTAAAAAATGTCACCATCTGCTCTTTCTTAAAATCTCTTCCTTGATCCCATCACCAGTGCCTGGCCCCTCAGTGACCTCCCATTTCTTAGCAAGAAAATTGGGGAGGGATGTTCATTTGTTTGCTTTGCGTATTACAGCATTCTGTGTTATGTTATGATCAAGTGGCTTGCTCAGCCTATGGCACAGAAGCACCTCTGTGCTTTAGAAGAGATGCCTCTTCGGACTGCTGAAGGCCCTCTGTTTCTTGACGTGTACAGTGTCAGAAAGCAGACCCCTGCCCTGTATCTCCCTGCACCAGCCCAGCTTCGGGATTATGGTCATTAGGTTCTTGCAGCCTAACAAATCATTTTACCCTCTGTGCTAAAGCCCATTGGCAGTGAACACCCAGATAAAGCTGCCCCTGGACTTCCACTGGTTGCTCCTCTACTTGGTCAGCTTGCTTCCTTCTTTAATTCCTTTTCTGCTAGGTACATAGCACACACTTTTTGCTGCTCTTTTTGAGTGAAACCTTCTTACGTGCTGTCTCCATTTATTCTGCTTTTTTTTTTCAGCTTTATTTTCAAAGCCAAAAGTGTACTTTTTCAGCAATAATAAGTTCCTCTTCCTCTACTGCCTTTTCCAATCCAGATTCTCAACATGCCTTTGCTCCCTAAAGCCTTCACAAGATTCTTAAGATTTCTTTCCCCTTCTGTGCGACACATCTCCAGAGAAATCTCTATTTCTGCCAGAGACTCCGACACTGATGACATTTTATTTGATTTTCTTAATGCTCCCTTACAGCTCCCTTTCCTTATATCTGCCTTGATATCCAGCATTCCTTAAACAAAAATGTCATTTCAGGTTTTCTCATATGGATGAGAAATATGATTGCCCGACAGCAAAGGCATTGTTTAGTTTAGTTTTGTTTTCCATAGGATCATAGAATATCCCAAGCTGGAAGGGATATTCCATGGGGATCACAGAGCCCTGACAATAGGGATGGTTTTTTGCTTCCAAGCAGATTATTTGAAAAATAATTTGGGTTTCAAATAAGGGTCTGAGCAACAGAAATTTGTATATTGTCAGATCCAGCTGAGTGGAAAGCAGAACTGAAGTAGTTGTAAGTAAAGGTAAACTTTCTCTGGTACTTGACACAGAGGTAGTAATTCAAGCCAGCATGCTGATAATGCAATATATATGCCTCAAAAATTATTTTGTAATTGATTTTATTTCTCTCCTTCAGGTTAAGCAGCTTTCTACTGATTGCCAATCATGGCTTTGAACATGAAGAGAATCTTTGACAGGAACGGTATTCCCTTGGGGTCTGTATTGAGGCCAGCCCTGTTCAACATCTTTGCTGATGATCTGGACAAAGGGATTGAGTGCATCCTCGGTTAGTTTGCAGATGGTACCAAGCTGGAAGGAGGTAATGATCAGTACTAGATTTTGTGCTGCTCATCTTCTTGGGGCAGGGACCATCTGTTTGATTTTGCATACAGCACAGAGCTGCTGTAGCCATTGCACTGGGCATTTTGGCTAATTCTGCAGGCACAGGACCACATATATGCACTGGGTGGCAATCCGCCTTGCGCTGCTGTTGGTTCTGGGCAGCTCACATCAGTTCACAGCAGCCTTGAGGGTGTAACTGCAGGTTGCATACATCTGTAAATACATCATCTAACCCCTAGGAGAACATACATCTATACCTACATCCAAGAGGGATTCTTGGAGGAAAATAACTTATGAGAGCTATCTTGCTGTCCTTCTAGCTCGACTTTAATGAAAGTTCTGCCTCTGGGATCCTCAGCTCATGGTTGAACAAAGCTGGAGCCGTCTGTGCAGCTACTTTTACCATCAGAGGAGCAGATGCTGTTTCAATGCAGCATCCTAGAAGGCCACAGGAGGCTGAAAATGGAATCTGTATGATAAAAATAAGAAATCAGTCTTTCTTTTTCTTTCTTTCTTCTGCCTCTCTCCCCTCATTTGTCTCCAATCTATTAAAATACTTGTGAATCTTCCTGGAGATTTACCGGCATTAATTCCAGCAGGACAAACCCTCATCATTTTTCTCTATTATGTTAAACTTAACACCACTGCCGTCATCACTAACAGGTTAAACAGAGCTAAATACATCATCTTATTGTGAACTACATACAATTTGGCCTTTGTTTTTCTTCTGTGGGCAGTGATATCTGCTTTCTACTCTGAATTTGTCATTAGTAAACTAGAACTTACCCGGTGAGAGCTGTTAAGTGCTTGTATAAAGCAATCAGTCAGAAAACATTACCAAAGAATGTCAGCAGGTGGGTCCCAGAGATATTACAGAGAGTTACAACCATTTCTAAAACAGAGGTGAAAATTGCAGTTCTCACCACTGTTCACTGCACAATCTGGCTTCTAAAAATGCTGGCAAACAGAAATTCAGCACTGCCAACTGCAATTGTATCATGAGTTGATGATACTAAGTATTGAATGAAGTCCCCACTCCTGCAAGCATCTGGATTAGATGAAGATCTCAACTTTCATTTTGTATAAAAGCCCCGTGAGTCTAAAACACGTGATTAGAAAAGTCGGACCAAGCATGAGTGTCATTTCACCCAGTTTTACTGTCTGCAATTTAGACATCTGCTCTGAGCCGTTAGGTCACCTGTCCTAACAGTGGGGAGAGTGACAAATCGAGGTGGCTGCGTGCCCCTGTCAGCACTCCAGCATCACATCTCCTACCACCAGGTGGTTGCGGGTGCTGGCTGTGCAACAGAACACATCAGCTACCTGGCTAAAAGCTGAGGGCTATGAAAGTAGTAAAGCTGATCCCACTGGTGCCAGGTGATATAAAAGCAGACGACTACACACAGTTACATGGCAGATTTCACTTAGCCTTTGTGCCATGTCAATAGTGGGGCTGGAGTAGGTGACATTTGAAGAGTTCCTCCATCTTCGGTCTAGAGATATCATGACACCCTCACTCCAAAGGCAGTGGATTTCCAGTGGGTGGTTACATACACCCTATCCAGAGAAGATATTCCAGAGAACTATCCACACCACGCTCCTAAAGCAATGATGGGAGTTGGCGGAGAGTCTTCACTTGGAGAGGCAAGAATTGTGCCCAAGTGTGGGTACATGCTCTGTTTTGGATTTTAGTACCCCCCTATAGATTACACTTTCTTATAGCAGCTGTGAAATGTCATAATGCTTCAAAAGATCCCTTCAAAAAATAAAATAAAATGGTGGTAGTTTTTTTGTATCCAAGGTTTTTGAGTATCCAAGATCCTCTCCTCTCTTAGATCTTGGAAGAGAGGAGCAGCTGCTGTGAATGAAGGATGCCAGATGGGAAAATAACCACACAGAAATATGGTGTGAAACACTGCAATAGGAGTACTGGCTCTTTGGGTACATGGGGACCTCAGGAGGCAGACATAGCTGCAGACCAGGTGTATCAAAAGCCTGTCATATATTATATCTGTAATTACTAAATGTTTAACTCAGGTCATTTGCCTCATCTTATTACAAATAAATAAATAAATAAAATAAAAAAAAAGTATGCAAGAAGACTGGGTAGTTCTCCAGGTCTCACTGCTGACTGCAGTAAAAGAGCAAAGAAAACATCTAATTCTGTTCATGTCATGAGGAACCCAGCATTTTCCACCTCAATTGCTGGACACAAGATACTGCAGGTATAAAAGTCTGTTTGGGTTCAAGACGTAACTCTGTAAGTTTGTAAACCATAAACACACCAAGAGCTAATACAAATACAAAAAATGCACTCCTTTCTGGCTCAGGCAGAAGCTGCTGGAGAATGAGAAGCATCCCTTTGCATCCAGTATCAGCAATGGCAGGGCAAAGCTATCCCAGAGGGATGAATTTCTGTCCTGACCCGCTTGGTAGCTCTTATATTCTTGTAGATTCATTTTGTAGCAAGTTTGGTCAATGGAGTTATTTGTTATTTATCAATTTGTTGTCTTACCACTCATTGCTTTTTTCTTCTTTTCTTCTTTTCTTCTTTTTTAATCATCTGTGTGTCTTCTGTATGTAAAGCAGCATTCACTTACAGGAAAACACACTGACCAAGCTAACAAGCTCAGGTTGCACAAAATCACCAACACCTGAAAGGAGAGGGAAGTGAGGTGTAACGGACAAACAGGTTGCTCTCCGGTCTCAGGGGATCTCCCAGCATCAGTGGCCATTGATCATTAAGCATAGCCATTGCCCAAGGAACAAACACTTCACAGTTCATTGCAGCAGAGACAGAGGAACAAGAAATTAAGGACTGATTGAGCCTGAGGGAACAAAGGGGGGTGAAGTGGAGTATGTTTTTTAAATTTTGTTCTTGTTAATAAACTATCCAAATCTATTTTAACTGGCAATTATTAACAGAAAAAAAAATAAAAATCCCCAATTCAATGCTGGCTTGCTCCTGACAGTAATAGGTAAATTGCCACCTTTGAGGAGGTAGAGTTGTCTCTTCCCTGGAAAGGCTGCTTGGAGGAAGAGGAAGCCTTCAAGGCATCCAGGCCCAAGTAGAATGAGTGCTTTGCTCCACTGTGTGAAGGAGAGCAATCTTAAGCTAGGATGTTTGACAGTTTTAGAATACAAGTATAAATAGGAATTATATTCAATGCATACTTCACACCTTGCAGTGACAGAATGTGCTCAGAATTATTCTTTCCACTTGTTAGTCCCTGCTTCCAACAGAATGATTTAACTTTTCACATGATTCAGAGCTTTTACCTTGTAGGGTTTATTTTACATCCACATGCTTGCAGAGATGAGTAAGTCTCTTGGCCACAGGGCCACAGGCAGAATTTTAAACAAAATCATGTGGAAAACATATTGCAAAGAACCATAATAATTTTGAACCTTCAAAATACAGTATTCGGAGCAGTGCCTTCTATTAAAGAGTGCTGAAGAGGTTGGTAAAGACCTTTGGTATCCCAAATGGAGCTCCAAGGTGAAGACAATTCCTTCCATTCACCTAGTTTGATATTAACTAACCTGCCAACATTACAAGCCATACAGACCCCAAAGGCAAGATGATCAGCTTTCCTGGGTCAGACTGTTTGTTCCACACTTTTCCTCAAGAAAGGAAAGCAATAAAAGCCTTCTGGGCAGATCCCAAAGAGTAGGGTTGTGCCAGCCCACATCTCTACAGAAGAGAAAGTGGAACAGCAGCATGGTTTTTGTTGGCATTACTTTGCTTACCTCACTCCTCAGTATTCGCTGCTCTTTAGCAATTGCAAGGAGACTGCTGCAGAGTCATCACATGAGCCCACTCCAAAGCTATCAGCAAGGTCTGGTACTTCCATCTGTGCCCTTGTCACCTGCAAGTGAAACAGCCTCACCCTCCCCAGGCTGACTGCCTCAGTCCTGCAGGAACTGGTGGAGATGTGAGAGTCCCAGCTGGAACACAGAGCCCTCCCTGTGCTGTCAGCCCTGCTCTCCTCCTGCCCTGCCACAGCTCCCACCACTCGGCCAACACCGATGTTTTCTCTCCGGGCTGCTCTTGGCTTCCTGCTCCACAGCTGCACTCTCCACATCAGAAGGGACTTTCCAGAGAAAAGTGAAATTAGTAAAAATTAATATAATTGAATGCATTTTGTTTTACCAGAGAGACTGTTTGTGGTTTGCAAATAGACATGAGACATTATAAAATATTTTCTAACAGTACCCTATAGAGATGACTTGTCTGTAAAACATAAAATATGGCTGGCGGGAAACCAGCACATTGACTCAATAAAACATGACATTAGCTGACACCAAAAACAATCTAGTTAAGCAGCAGAAAACTTTACAGCCTCAGTTATTTGAGAAATACAGAGGTAGTCCAGCTATTAAAATGGACGGGATCATTAGGGTAACGCACACTATTTGCTTCAGTGTCATTAAAATGCAATGCTATGAATCCATTGAGGTGGAACTTCTTTGACTCTTATTCTCCTGATTGCTCAAAAAATAGCAAGAGACCAACAACCACTTTGAAAACACAACGTTTTGCAACATTCACTCAGAAATATCTCTAGCTGAGCCGATCAAGGCTTCAGAGTCTATGAAGCATATACATTTTCAGTGTGTAATGGTAACACGCATTCTTGACATACTCCAACGATTCAATCAGTCAAATCAGTGTAACTAAAGCCATTGCCTGGATCTACCCTACACTTTGGAAACAAATGAGCAATTGTAATCTTCACTGTCTTCTAACTGGTATTTCGCAGAACATCTGTGCACAGAAAAGCAGAGCTCCTTGCCTTGGAAGAACAGCACTTAGGAGGCTAACGTAGAACTGGATAGTTACTTGTTCACACCAGTATTGTTGTGGTGAG